GGTAGCTAGTGTTTCACAAAAAAGTTGTCTGTCAGTTTTTCCTGCCTTCTTGACCTTGGCCTTTTATGCCTCTCCTCTCTTGACAACTTATGCATATGTTTATAGTCCCTATATCACTTCACAGACAGATAAGCAACTCAGCAGCTAATTTCTTTCCTCAGTTTTTGGAAGCGATGCAGGGTAGCAACAACTTACTTAAAAGAGAGGAAAGGTGGTCTTAAGATTAAAATATTGGATTGGGTCAAAGACTCCAGACTCTGGTCAAACACAGGTTTCCTGTGTGATCTGTGAGACAAGTCACCATCCCTGTGCTTTCATATCTGAAACAGAAATAATCACACACTTCTACAAATCACAGTGATGGTGCAAGGATAAATTCATTAATGAATAAAGCTCTTGGGCTTCGGCTTGCAGCTCAGAACTGCCCAGCTTTTCACCGTAGTGGGAACCGAGGCAGGTGGAGGAATGGAGCCCCCTGCCACACAAGCCCCCTGCAGTTTGCAAGCTGGGGTCTTGTGGGGGTGGAGGGCACGCAACAGGAGTCTCCATTTCCCCAGCTGCCAGCCCACTCCAGCTTTTTGAAGGCTGCAGCTCAGAGCCGCTCACGGCTTCCTGTTGCACCAGGAACTGGGAGAGGGCAGCCTTACCACATTAATGTCTGTACCTAGGCTTAGACATTAGTAGAGGAGTACCTCAACAAAAATAATCAAGCATAACCTTCTTTTTCAATATTTCTACTGGACATGTATTTAAAAACACAAGACAAAACTGCTTCGGAAAGTTAATCAAGAAGGGTGCAACTGTGATTTCTTTTGCCTCTCAACTGTACAGGGAAAGTATCACAAAGACAAAACAGCACATCTCTCTCCTAAAAACTCAAACCCCAAAACTGTCCTCTCTTTTCCTGAAAACAAGCATTTGAGAACAGATAAGAAATCCTGATCTGGTAACACCCTGTAAAGGTAATTTTCTCCAAGATCTCTCAAAATGCAGCTTATCTTCTTTTCTCTGCCCTGCCATATTTAACCATTTGTCCTCCTCTGAATTCCACTTAATGCCTCTTAAGATTAAATTTTAGTTTGTCTTTTGTTTGGTTAGTGGACAACCTCCCTGGCTATTTCTGACTCATAACTGCCACTTGCACCTGTGCATATAAAAGGAAATGGTTCAAACATTTAAAGTCCAGGACAAGTCTAAATATTTTGACATTTTTTCATATTTATTGGTCCCCCAGGAAAAATTCCACCTAGTTGTTCTATTTTTCACTCTACTATTCAAGTAATTTAATCATTGTGGTTTAAATCTTGGCATCTTAAAAAGTAAAACCAAGTCCATAAATTAACATGAATTACTAAATATTTGAAGTGCTGGCATTAGATTAATTTAAAGCATGTAACGGCGCAGATGCATTCACTGGAACAATAAAAAAAGGAGTACTTTGTGGGCCCCTCTACCTTCCAGAAAAGCACTCCTATATCTATCCCCTTAAGATTCAGTACTGATACTTAAAAGTGTACATGAGAGTTTGAACACCACCTTCAGTACTGATAGTGAATGAGGTGGAAAGGCAGTGTTTTTCTAGTAACTTTTTTAGTTTGACGAGGTGGGAAAAAGCCCTTATATTTGAAGAGTAATAATAGTTTAAACAATTTCTGGAAACCCAAATTAAAGGCCAGTCAGACATTTAAATTTTCTTTGCTGAAAGCTAACCTTATTTTATACAGTGGGATGAGTTTTACCGTACCAACATTTTTAAACTTATACTACTAAAACGATATACTTCAACTGAAAAGTAATTTTCTCTCCACCCTACTTATATAATTCCTTTCTCTCTGCTTTTCCTAAACTGCTGAACACAAACCCTTGACAACATCAGTGAAAAAATACAAATGTTTGCTTTCTTTTTCACCCTCAAATTAAAGCCACTGAATGCCTGCTCCATTTTATACATCAGTTTTGATCTATCCCAACTTAAGATAATGTATTATATATCGTAGACTAAAATATCTTGAACTGAACCAAAGATGGGCACTATAACAGGGGAAGATGACTAACAAATTACACAAAACCTTGACTCTTTGTGCTTTTTTTATACTTTTCTTTTTATCCTATTCTGCAGTTACTAGCAAATTGAAAGCTCCTGGATCCTACCATACTTTATTTCAAGTAACTCGTTACTTCATTCTTTACCAAATGTAAAACCCTACAGGGACAAAAGTTAGAACACTAATGTTTAATAAGAGCTTCTAAAGAGTGCTTGATGATAGGTATAATACATATAAAGATGTACATAAAATTACTTTTGCCAACAAAACTAGAAAAAAGCAAACAAGAAAAACCATTGTTACAAGACAAAACACCTTCCACAAGAGGCAACAGCAATTTTGCTCAAAATGTCTCTACCCAAAGGGAAGCTTAGCTTAAACCCCACAGGCACAAGATGGCCTTCAAAAAAGAATATTTGAAGAACCCTTAAAAAACAGTCTCGCGTGATAAGGTACAGCTTAGGGTTGGGTGGCACCTTATAGCCTAATCGGTTCAGAAAGGTACAAGGTTTTGTAGACAACAATGTAGTTTGTCAGATACTATGTTATGCTATAATAAAAAGAAAGATCTTGTTTCTGAAAAAAAGAAATTCCATTTTAATTAATTTTTAAGTACTTTAGATTGACGGCTATAACTCAGTGCCTCAAAATAATTAAAAACTTTAACACCACATTTTGTCAACAACAAAAAAACCAACACTTTTTAAATTGGGAGACGCTACCTATGGTAGGTGGAACAATGAAAGACAATAAATAGTACAGGCTATGAAATCTAATAGGGAATATATATGAATACCACAGTCCGTGCTAAGATAATGAGTACCAGTAAAGATAGCAAAACAGGTTTATGTTCAAAAGCAACATTCAGAGCTTCACATTTTTAGATTTTTTTCTTTTATCAGGTTGCCAGAACTCAAACTCAATGGAATGATGTACTTACAACTGCAAACTCATCTCGATCCAGCATTCCATCATGGTCAATATCACTTAGCTCCCAAACCTTACGAGAAAAACAAAATAAATGGATATTTGCATACATTGTTATTCCTCTGCCTTCATATGCACTCTACCAAACAAAGGGAACAAAAACCTCCTATCTGGTCTTGGATTTAAAAAAAACACTCCCCTCCCCCCCGCACTATTATTTCTTGGCCTTTATGCATTCAAGGAACTATTTTTTAGCCTGCAATGTGTGTTTTCATCAAGATAGGTAACTTTTCTGAAGAGAAAAGAGCAAGATAAATGTTCTATGTCAATGTTAAATTAGACCAAAACACAAAGATTCAACATATTAAAAAGGGAGATTAATATACTAATTTCACAGATTACTTTTAAACATAACCTTTGAAACAAAATGTTTTACTGCCAGTTTTGGTTTATTCACTAGAATCAGAGAAGTAGGGCTGGAAGGGACCTGTAGGGTCATCAAGTCTAGGGTCATCAAGACCTCTAGGATCATCCCTATCCAAACCATTCGAAACAAATCTATAATCTAACCTCTTAGTAAAACTAGTCATGATACCAAACTTATATTTTACATATATGCTATTCAGTAAAACTAAAATGTGGCCATTTTGAATTGTATTAAGTAGCCATTTCTGTTAACAAAAAAAATCTTAAATCTGAATAAATTAACATAGTTGTAATTAGTACTATTATTGTTAGTAATAATGCATAAACCACATCAATAGCCTACTAAATCTAGTTAGAGATAGGCTTACTCTTCCTAGTATGTCCACTGGTAGTTTGGAGTTTAGCAGTACAGGTTTCACCTTCTCACCCGATAACAATCCATTTACAGGATTCAGACTGTCAAAAATAGCGTCATACTTGGCCTTGTCTTCCAACTGAGAATAGAAAAGAGAGAAATACTGCTAATGGAAATACTTAAAACACAGAACCTAAGAAATGACAGATATTTCAGAATTGGTGTTTTAAAAATGAGTATTCAAAGGCTATATGACAGCTCCTGTCACAAGGAATTTACCATCTCATATGTTTTTAAATATTTCCTCTCAAGTAATTCAAATAAGGATTGATCCAAAATCTATGGGAATCAACTATGCTTTCAAATAACTTAAACTGGCTTTAAGCAAGGCTTTTAAAAACATGCCGTAAGTGGATGCAAGTCAGAAGTCTTACTTGATCATATTATTCTACCCTATTGTAAAGCATAGGCCCAAAGGGACTAAGAAAAATTGTATCACCATTTCCTGCTTAGAGTACTTAGTTTTGTAACCTTAGCCTTCTTTATAAAATGTTATAGTCTCTTATAAACCTGTGTAGTAACTAAAAATAGATTATTTATTCACTCAGTGACTTCTAGATTAAATGCAACAGCCCAGCAAAGGTTAACCAAACAAAACTCAGAAGAAACTGAGAATTGTTTGGTGTATCAATTTTCAATTAAGTTGAAAAGCTTGCTAATAGTTTTTCCACCAAGAACTTTCCCATTTGCAATATATAACCAGATTCCAAGATGCATCAGGTTCATGAAGTCCACAAATAAAACTGTTTCAAATAATTTTAATGGCTCAATACAGCTAACACAAAAGGCGGTTATCATAGTTAGAAGGCAATCCAGTATCTGTAATATTATACTTGAGGATTTGAAATAAGCTATACTAGTCATTACATACGTTCAAATTTAGATTTTCTATTTATTTTTACAGAATAAATAAATAAAATGGTGACCAGACCACATACCAATCTTTGACACCTTTTAGCTTACCTTGACAGCCCAAGGGACATCAGCTGATGCTGTTCCACTGATCAGCAATGGACTGCTTGTATCACTCTAATGGAAAACAGAACAAAAATATGTCCAACTTAGATGTAAAAAACTTCTTGGCAAGATAGCTTTCCTTTCATCTGAGCAATTTTATTGCCCATATCTACAGTCACAATTTAGTTAATTATGCCATGAGAAAAGATCCAACAACGTAGGGTGAGAAATTCAAAGCGGCATATTTGTTCTACTCTCAGTAAACCTTAAATATAGCTACAGCTTTATTACCAGCAAAGGACACACACTGTTACAGTCGCTTCCATTTCCAACAACTCCAAGAAAGCAAACCAACAAACAGTAAAATCTGGTTATCACACTGTGCGTTTTAAGTTGTGTGAATACCACTCTGTAACTGGGGGGATACTGAATGCTAAGGGAAATCAAGGAAAAATAGTACCACAGCTGTATGCAGCTTGAAGGAGTACCATGGAAGATTCCCCATGAAGTCCTCCAAGTAAAATTTAACCCTTGCCTACAGCTTCACAGCTATTCCAGAATTTGGGCACGATTTTGTTGCGTTTAAGTAAGAAATCAACTATGCAACAGACATTACTAGGACTAAACATTTTTTAGCCCAAGCTTCTAGTGAAATGAGACAAAATGTACTCAGTTTCACATCGCCTTCATTTCTTCTCATTTATTTTAAATATCACTAAGATTTACTCCATAAAGATGCTCATAGCAAACACTAAACCTACCCATTTGTAAAAGTACTTAAGTTAATGAGTTGATGTTGTTTAAAGAATCTTACAAATCTAGGTGGAGGAACAGGCAATTTAAGACTACTCAGGGAAACATCCAATCCATTCTGTGCACAGGCCACAAGTCGCAAAGCCACAAAAAATTCCTATGGAGGAAAATAAAACATTTAAAGGATTTATTATACTAAAGTAAATTAAGTTCAGAAAAAAGCTTGAAATTAGCTTTCAGTTCTTCTAGCCTTGACACACCTACTATTATTTTAACGCAAAAGATTTGTTTTTTTAACAGTATATGTTATGTTAATACACTTTCTTAAGCCATTGCTATGCTCAAATGACTTACAGCAGCAAATTAGAAGTAACAATCACAAGTCGATAATTTAAGGCATTATGCAGTAGCAAGTCTAGTAAATCTTAAAAAACTGAAATGTCTAGCAAAATATTTACCAGAACAGCAAGTAAAAAGTTCTGTTTTTATCCAGTGAAATGACAAAGGGGCATTTTGGAAGCAGTCTTCAGAAAAAGATGGCTTGCAAAGGAAAAAAAAATGGCATGCCACTTTTTGGCTTCTCTGTATTGCAGGCATGTAAAACAGGAAGAATTCTCTTCTGGTTGCCTTTAATTTATCATTGAATCAAATGTCATCTTTCCAGATATTTCTTGGACTCCCACATATGTGGGCACTTTAAATGAAAGGGAATGGGCTTTGCATCTTCTCAACCTAGAGTTCTCCAGATAAGGTGGGAAAATCAATAATTATTTCCACTGTAAAATACAAAAAACCCATCATCATTTTTTGGGACATTTAAGATCATTTTATATCATAAGAAGGAAAAAAAGGAGTGTATGTTTGTTTTCCCCTTCTCAAGTCACCATAAAGCTTTACTGTCTTCTCATGGCAGACAAGTAATTAAGACTGCATCAAAAGTAAAGCAAGCACCTATTTGGGGAAAAAACTAGGAAGTATTTAATATACCTTTGTTATTTTTAGTATTATTTCGTAGCTAGAAAAAGGAAGAGCTGCCATCATCATGGGATTAGGCAGCTTCCTTTTTGATGGTTTAAAGCAGAGTTTTGGCTATTTTGGTGGAATGCAAGATAAACTGCACATCTGATTGACTAATCTTGGCAATGGCTACACAAAGCCATCCACGATTAAGACTCTTTTTCAAACACTGAACACCTTACTGATCTGGAATTTGAAAAAAAATAGCTGACAGGAATTTAAATAGAAAAATAAAGCCACTGAAATTTACAGTTCTGCAAATATTGTTCAAGAAGGACCAGAAAACAGGTTAATGGGCCTCATAAAAGGTTCTTAAATTATTCCAAATATAGCAACAATTTTCAGTTTATTATACTGTAAAGTTGTATTCAGCCCAGAAAGGAACTAAAGATAGCAGAATTTTACCAAAATATAGGCAAATTTTGATTGGGGGGGGGTTGTTTTTTATTTTTATTGTGGATGACATTTAAACTGGAAACAGAGTTTTTTATTGAAAAAAAAAAAACAAAAACCTACAGAATATTCCACTCTTATTTTTTTCTTCCTTTATTTGTTAATCTTGCTTATGCTTCATATATATACATTTTTTAACCCATCAAATACATTCCCTTACAGTTAAGACTCTTACCTGTTTGTTCAGGATACCTTTGCCATCTTGATCAGCTAAATCCCAAATCTAAGATTAAAATGACAGAACGCATTTCAAAGTAAGAATCAGATAACATTGTCTGAAAATCTGTGACTTGCCCAATCCTTGTCCCACTTGTGTAGGGAATGGAATCCTCATATGAATTTTAATTCCAAACCTTTTATGCCAGCAATTATAATTTTTGTTGCCATTATTTAAATACTATTTTATATAACTAAGCATTACATAAACTGAAAAATAGACGTGAAGGGTAATGCAATTTGAATCCATTAGGTAACATAATTTGTCAAATTGCCAACATGCACCAAGCAAGCAAGGCAGACAGTAGGCCAAATTCTCTTTTCTGTTCAGACGAAACTGGTCCAGTTCTTTATATTTTAACTCATACTCATTCAGCAGCTTGCACTTTACACTTCCCATAAAATCTGTCAATCAGGCCCAATGATCTCTGATCCTTTGACAAAGAGAAAACAGATTCCAATAATATATCATTACATTTTGAATTTAACAGTGCACAAGATGAGCGTTTCAGGGTTAAAGAGCCCTTTGGGTATCTCAGTAATACAGGAACGGAGTTCACAATATTTTAATTGTTAGAGTCTATAATAACAGGCTTTAGAACTTTCTATGATGATACTGTCATAGAAAGTTCTCCTACAGCCAGCCATTATAGTCTCTAATGATTAAAATTTAGCTTGGGATCCAGGAACTTTGTTACTTATTTCTCCAGATATTTCTCCAGACCTGAACTCATTCTTAAGTTGCTTTTGCTGCTGTCAAACATGAAAGATCAAGGCAAGAAATCAAAGTTAGGAATACCATCAGAAAAACAAAGAAATACACAACAGGATTTAGTATTATAAATTCAGTATATTATAAGAAAGATACTGTCATTCAAATATGGCTTAATTAATTTAGTGTATCATGTGATAGTATTTTAAGCTAATTATAAATTTGTTTGTCAATACTACAGAAACTAGATTTAAGGGCACTGCTTAATCTCCTTCATGTACTATGGCACTAAACACACTATACTGAATTTTTATTACAGACTAGGGTTATTTTATACAAAGTAATGTTATAATTGAAGTAGCCGCACAAAAATTATCTAGAAAATCAAAACTAAGCACATAGGTTTATTACTAAGAATATAAAAACAGGGTAGGTATACAAATGTATCTGCTCACTGTATTAACAAAGTTTCCTACTATTTCCTAGCCATTTATAGCAATGGGCTTGGTTACTTCCTGGCTACATGTCTATGGGATATTTGAGGTCAAGATTACTCTGCACTTCTCAATGACCTACAGGAGTGCTTAGAATCTTGCAGGCTCAAGCCTCAGTCCTGCTATTACTTGAGCAGTAGATGCAATGTTGTATATCTGCTAAAGGAGTTAGGCAGGGTAGAGATGCAGTTTATAGATTAACTGAATCAGAGAAGCCTAAACTTTTGTGAGCCAGACCTCCCTTCATCAAATGCAAAAAATATTATGAGGCTTAGGCCATGAATAGGCAGAGTAGCACTTTAATGCTAAACACACTCAAAAAGCCTGAGACTGAATCAATCCCATTCTTCACAGGTTAGTCTAATCTGCATAGATCGAACCAATAAGGAAGTGAACAGATATTCACTTTTGAATCTGGAAACACAGCCCCATCCTTGAAGTGGCCCAGGCCCAGAAGCTGGGAAATACTAGAGCACGCCTCCCCACTTGGCTGGAGCAGACTGCTTGGGCCATGGCTAGCCTGCCCACCCCGCAAGAGGGGTTCACGGGGTGGTGCCAAGCATCCTGGGATGATGGGGGTCTCTGCGTGAACTTGAATACAGGGTGTATCTGCAACAGAAGTTCAATAAACTGATTTAACCTAAATCAATTACATCTGATACCACGCCCATCCAGGTTTATCTTAAACCAATTTCAACTATTTTGAAAGTGGCTTATGTGCACTGAACTTCTGGGCTAGGGACAGAAGTTACATACAAATTGGTTTAAGTGATCAGAAACTGGTTTAAACCTGTAACAGAACAGAAGTTCAGTGCATATAAACCAGTTTCAAAATGGCTGAAA